AACATGGTCTGAAGTGCCACAAAATTAGACGGGCGCCTCAGGCAAGTAATACCCTCCACCGGGAAGCTGGCTTTATCCTTTTATCCCTTGGTTTTGCACGGGAGAAACGCCTGACGATAACACTTGAACAGAAGCCGTTTGCTGCTGCTGCACGTAAGTTACAGATCTTGGGAAGCGCCTTTCACGCAAGGTGGGCTGACTGCCATGGTCTCCCAATTCGACACGGCATGCACCATGCTATAGATAAAAACAGACCATAGAGAACAAATTTGATCACATGCAAACTTTTGGATCGCCGCTGCAGCGATCGTAGTGGGCCTGAGAAATCGGCAAACGTCGACCCAGGTCAAGTCCAAACTGTAGTAGTTGCCAGCGGCGCAGAAGTCCGAAAAAATCATGAGCCTACAACCCAAAATATCGTGAAAATCAAAGCTATGGAAGCACTCAACGGACAAAAACGAGCGGGCGTGGACAAGCAGGGCGAACCAAACCCTGCAGGTAACGGGGTGTGAGCGTCTTCATGTGCGCGCAGCCCATCGAGGACGTCACGTTTGTTTCGGAACAGCACCGAGAAGATGCAGCACAACAATTGAAAATCCCTCGCGGATCGCGGATAGGACTCTTTCGAGATATGATTCCAGGACTTGTTAATACTCCCAAGGATGCACGGTGAAAAAACACACGTAGGTACCATTATTATTGCGGGGGGGGGGGGTATGCCAGTACAATTCCGTTTGGAAAGCAACTCACAACTATGCATGTAGCATCTACTAATGCAAGCATCTACTATATGCAAGATACGGGTCGCGCTTAGATCGCGAGACTGATCCAGCATGGTTGAGATGCATGCATGTGCCGATGGGCAGTGGTGTGGTGGCGGCAAGCCCGTGGCCGCAGAGAGAGCAGGAAGGACACAGACACATCTAGTCTTCTTCTCCAGAAGCAGGGCATGCTGTGTTTTCCAACCCCTGTTTTCCAACTCCTCCCTGTCGGTAGACAGAGTGTCCGCATTTGTTTTTTATCGCAATAAAGACCGACGTCTTTTTCACTGGTCGGCTGGTAGGCGCGATCGATACTAACGATTCAAGCGAGACGCACACACCACAATCGAGACACAACCACAACAATAATAAAGACACACGACACGCACGCACACGCCGCCATAATCAATCATCAGGAAGGAGGGAGTGGCGCCGAAGGAGCTTCGGTGAAAAGAGCGGCGCACAAAGTTACCCGTACTATCGTCATCGTACACCAAGCACACCTCATCACAAAATGGACTATCTAAGCAAATACGTATACGTACGTGACACCCCGCACATTTCCAAACGGAACTATGTATATGCTGGCGTTTGCCAGCCAGCCAGACATGATTTTCTTTGGTCGGGAAGAGTTGATGGTTGGTACTCCAGGTTGGAGGGGAAAAGGTATGGGAAAAGGATCCCCGCGAAGGAAATGGGGATGAAAGGGATTTCTCGTCAGGTCAAACGTACTTTTCCGAAATCAGGCTACACTTCTGGAGAAAAGTAGCCACGGCAGGGTATACCCCACCCTTTTTAGGACGCGGCATGGTAAAAGTGGGCCTTGACCAATCATCTGAGTTCGTTTCACGCTATTGAATCAGTATGTACCCAGCTGAGTCGCTTTTCCACCATGGTATACCCTGTTGTGTCGTTTACCCAAACGAAAGCATTTAGCAACTGGTTTCCTAAAAAAAGGTAGCAACACAGCAGCAGTTTATCCTCTTGCTTGGTTGACCCTTCTCTCCCTCTCGCGACGACGTTTCACTGCTTATCTATCATAGTACGCAGATACTGTAGTTAAAGGCTATGGATCCAGCAAAATCGCGTCTCCTCATCGGGAGAGGCTGTACAGCCCCGAGGGGCAAAGGCTGACTCGGCTTCAGCACGAAAAAGTGTCCCTCAGTCTAATGCACCGCGGACACTTTCGATACACTGATGGCAAGTCAGCATGTTTTCCAGTACCAGGCTTGTTCGGTTTTACCACCTAGGGGACATGCGGCTTGTGAGATACGTTACAGCAAGTCAGAGGCCGAGGAGAGGCACACAGGCATCATACAACGGTAGTCTCTATCAAACACCGCACCATCTCACACAAGCATGGTAGACCAAGGATTGCAACACGCGTTTCACCCAGCGGAGCATTGTGACGACGGCTACAGTGCGGTAAACAGGCATCTGAGTGCTGTGTCCCCAAGGTGTCCCTATTTTGGCTTCCGGCACTACAGTAGGAGGGTTCAACCAACCGATACATGCGGAGAACTTGCCAACCGTTTTTGGTCTATGAAATCGATGCAACACGGAAGGCATCGCCTCTCACTCTGCAGTGATCCAGCGTCGGCCCCACCAGCCGCTCCCGGGACTCTATCCCTCTCGTCCACATCCGTCACCACAAGTATGCATGCCTACTGCTGTGGAAGATGCATATGCATTCAGGGCACCGACATCATGCTCCAATCCCAGGTGCGCCCCGCACAGGGCTGATCGCGATCGAGGAAGCGCGCTGTTGCGAAGATGCAAGATGCCAGCCAGGCCCCAGCTCTGAAACATTGAGCAGGACGTACTGCTGTAGTAGCACCGGTCGGTATGCTGCCGGCGACTCGAGACTACTGTACCAACTACGTACCGCACCACACGCCCGCATATCCCCCGAGATCACTACGTCAGTTGAGTTCTCCCTGGACAGCACTCCTGGAGTGTTAAGGCACTCATGCCCTGTGGGTGCAGCGTGCATGCGTGAGTGCAGCCATGCGCGGGAGTTCTAACGTCATGTAAGGAGGAGCCGAAAATGCGGCGAGATTTGAAGCGACCGGAGTTCGAAGTTCGAACCAAATGTCGGGAGGAGCCGAAAAATGCGGCGGGATTTGAAGCGAATTCGTTCGCGAATTCGCGACACTGCTGTTGCTGCTTCCTTCGCCTCTGTCTCACATGCACGCACTCGCCCCTCTTGCACACAACAAACTCACCTCCTCCGCATCCGCTACAGGGAGGAAGTACCAGCTAAAGACCAACCTACAGCAGGGAAAGCCATACATCAAGGTGAGCACACCGACACGATGTTGCCCATGTATGTTTGAATAGACAGTCGTTTGATAGCCAGCGAGCTTGGTGTTTGCCTGTTGTTCCTCGGCCTACGGCAGCGGTTCCCGAGGCTGAGTTCTGTACGATATGAATCCTAGAGTGGTGGTGTTGGTTGGCAAGTGGTAGGGCCCTTCCAGGAGGCCGGGTCTTGTCTTCTGTGTGGTTCCAGTATCGTCAGTGGAGGACAGAACATTGATCCTCCGCAATAAGACGTTGGAGATCCTCATCGTCGATCGGAGACAGAGAGGCGTCACAGCCTCACACCATGATGCTTGGTCGTTTTCTGTCGCTCCTGCTTCTTTCGAATTTTCTGCAGGTGCCAGAAAACATCATGGACTACGCCTCGTTGCCAAACACACGCGCTCTCGACGTCCTTTCTTCGATCCCCGCCGACAAGAAGATTCGTCTCAGCGGTGGTACCACCACCATCACCACCACCACGGCAGCAGCAGGCACTGCTGTAGCTCAAGCCGTGGCCGAGGCAGCCCCATCATCATCATCATCATCATCATCTTCACCAGCCGCTGCAGGAGAACGATGCTACCTTGACGTACTGCCGGGCGTTGTCCTCAGGGAGATCGTCTCCTTCACGACCGACAGCTCCCTCAGCGGCGTCTGTAGGACAACTCTGGGAGCCATCCGCGAGCTGCACTACAAAATCGACATGAACAAGGTCTCCTCCGCCCATTACTTGAAGAGATCGGAGCTAACAAACCACATGGGGCTTGATGCTTCTGGAGCTCTGGCTACTGGCAGGGCTGTCGTCCGAATCACGATCACTCACGTGCTCCATGTATGTCATTGTGCTGCGCTCCTCCTGTGAAATTGGCTAGTGGGGCATGGAGTACATATATAAATACTTAGTATCATGTCATTACCAGCAGTTTAGTACGGCAGTAAATACAGCAATAACAATGCCCTTCTCCGTTCGAAGTATCGAGGGCAGCGGGATCTACGTGGTAGACACAATTTACAATTTTACACTGTGCGTCGCAGCTTACTTATTATTGGAGAGAGGTATGTATGTATGTAGTTCGCGAAGCCACCAGGAATATTCCGCTGGCGGCTGGGCGGCGACTCTCTGCTGGTCCCGTAATACAGCCTGGTTTCAAGCTCGTAAAGTGTCTACGTATGCATAAAAGAACCCACTCTTGCTATGTCCTTGTAGAATTTGTTGTCTCACGTTACGGCGTACAAGTCGTTGGTGATGGCTCTACATAGGACGCTTCCACACTCACGCGTACCCGATTGTCCTGGAAGCTTTGATCCACCTCTTGTGATGCACAAGAAGAGGCACCGAAAGTGCTCATGCACGTCGTTGGTAGTTTGATTATCCAGCCACTTCGGCTACAAACAGTGGTCTACATAGCAACGACAACTTCGGCGGAGGCGATATCTCAAACACGCGATACCCCACTGTGACGTCCCAAACCCTCACTCCGCGCAAACGCGCCACCTTTTCTTTGCAGGCCCAGGACCCTGCTCTGGAACAGGCCATCAGGAGGGTCGTGCAGCATTCAATACCCACCCTGCGCGAGATCGCCATCCGCCGGTACCCCACATGGAACGGACGTGCCAGGTACGCCTGCCATGGCACAAGGTGCACACAACCAGGCAAAAATGTGTCGCTCAGACTCATGCCTTCTCTCTCTCTCTCTCTCTCTCTCTCTCTCCCTCCCTCCTTCTTTCGTGCACTCCTCTATTTCTATTTTCGCGTTTGTTTGTGTTTTGGCGCATTCATATGTTGCACCCAATACTTGTCGCTCAAATTCACGTATATTTGTCTCTCTTTCGTCCACCCTGCTCCTGCCATGCTCTGATTCGCGTTTCGCGTTTGTTTATGCTCTGGCACGTACGTACATGCGTAAACCCAATGTTGACAACTGTTGCTACGCGTTCGTTCCAGGGTAGGCGCCATCCTCGGGGAGCTCGTACCCCTCTCTGCCAAGCGCCACCGCGTGGCCCCGCGGCTCGCACGGGTACACCTGGTGGACGGAGCCACGGGCGTCGCGAAGGCCGGCAGGGCGGTGGCGGCCGGTCTGTGGCCGGCCCTGGAGGTGCTCACCTTCTCGCACTGCCGGGCGAACGCGGGCCACTTCCGCGACCTGGCGCGCGGGCTCCGCTCGGGGCTCGCCCCGAGGCTGCGGGTGCTAGGGTGGGACGACCAGTCCAGCGTCAGGGACGTCGCGGTCGATGACGTCATCCTCGGCGCGCTGTCCTGGGGGCAGTGCCCACTCGTGGAACGCCTCAGCTTCACGGGAAACCGTTTCTGCCCGGAGCACAGAATCAGATACCTGGAGGAGATGTTGTGGGTCTGCCCTCGCTTGCGAGAGCTGCGCATGGACTGCAGCCGCACGCCTCACCATCAGCTGAGGGTCCTGGCGGGCGCCCTGGCAGGAGGGCACGTGCCACGGTTGGAGCGGCTTCTCGTTAGGGCAACGGCGCGCTACTACCGTGACAGCGACGTGGAGCTGCTGGCGCTGAAGCGGGCCGCGGCTTCGAGGAGCCCTCCCGTGGAGCTCGAGTTACAGATCAAGACGCGACTGAAACAATAACAGAAATAAGTGGTTGCTAGTGACACAACTGTGCCTTATTGCTCTCTGTGTAACATCCTCCCCTACGTTGTAGTGCGCATTTCTTTCGCGTAGCAAAACCTCCCACTAGGAGTTGCGCGCAGCAGGATTATTTCGCGTCGAGGCAATTCCATGTGGCCTCACTGGTACAGTCGGTTTTGCAGTGAGCTTCGCGACACAGATATAATATGTGTGTCTACTGTTGGTTGTGACAGTACGTCGGTATATATGTGTATCAAAATCGGTACTGGTAGAGTTTAGAAACAATATAAGGGAAATATAGAGGGTATTGTTTCTGTTTTCAAGAAGGAACGGGCGGATGAATATGTGGCGTCCTTTCGATTTCCCTCCGAAGATTGGGGAGGCAGATTTTGGTTTTGGTTACTTGTGAGAGTTGTCGAAGCCTTTGTCAAAGCGCCTGTCCAGATTGAACGGGATAGTTTCGGGGTGTGTGACGAACAAAGCTCTTGTCGATACTGCTGTACATTTTCGGGTTTTCCTTGCTCTAGGTCCCAATGGACGAGCGCAAGGTGGTTGCAGAACTGATAAGTTCGCTCTGGATATAGATATTTTTGATCGAGTCCTTCAAGTAGGGTAAATGTGTTTATCCGAAGATGCATCGCCGTCTCTCTTGTTATTGGTGGGAGGCAACATTCTAGCTTGCATCTATCTAATCTATCTAGTCTACTGCTGCTCTGGGCACACCTTTGCACATACATGTGGATACTTGTGTATCTTCGGGTTATTGGTGTCTATAGCTTCGGGTCAATGTCGCGTTTTTCCCAGAGAGCTTGGTGTTTCGTGCTTCTTCTCGAACATGTGTCCATTTAGCAGTAATTTGGACTAGTACTGTTCAATTTGGTCCCCTATTGCGTACTGCGTAGTAGCCGTCGAGGCAGCTGTGACCCGTCAACATGGGGTCGGGGCTCAGTTTCTTCGTCCCCACTGATGCCGAGCACAGGTTGGTAATATATAAAGTATATAAATACTTCGAAGTATGTAGAGTTTAGTGTAGGAACCTACGGCTCAATGAGCTATCTATGTAACCTATTTCTTCATTTCGTGAAGAATTGAGCCTTTGCTCCCTAAGGGCCTGCTTTAACGTTAAAAAGTTGCACGTCAATTGAGGACCCAATTTGGATGACCTCATTGGGTTTATGGCCAAAAAGTGTTTGCGTCGTTTTAACCTGTTTTTGCCACATCGAGGTTCAGCTGACACCCAAACGCGGCGGAATCGCGGCCGCGAGGTAACGTGGTGACCCAACCAGGTAGAGCGATAGACCATGCGCACCACACGGGAGCTGAAAAACCATCAGCACATACACGAAGCTTAGCATAAGCAGGTGGTGCCAGCGGTCCAAGCCTCATGCTCAGGCTTGCTCTACAACTGTTGTCTGGACTGTCTCGTTGCAGACAACCGGCCGTTTCTTTGACATCGCACATATTCGAAAGCAACCAGCGCGAAGGGTTGGCACGCTGACAGAATCATTGCAAACACAGCTACTTCCCAGCAGCGGGCGGTGGGCGATGCGTGTGGGTGCCGCACGGCCAGTGTGCCACATGTGGTGCCGTCATCGGTAACGCCAGCACGAGTTCAGCTCATCATGGGGTGTGCAAAAGGGGCGCAGTGCAACTTGGGTACTTCGATTCAGCCAAAAACATTTCAATTTGCATTTGTTTTTGCTGCACCGAATATCGACGTCCCGCTTTTCCGGGCAGAGAAAGCCTCATCGTGTCTTTTCCTGTTGACCAATCAGCGTATTTAGCCCCCGGCACCCCCCCCAAACTTATTTTTTGCGGGGCCTCAATTTTGGTGCAACTTTTTAACGGCCTATCTATGTAACGAATTCGGAACTACTTCTCGACTGCGGGCCCGTGTTCTGTATGGTATTTGGAGGTACCTCTGTGATGGTGGTGCGTTACGATTTAGATGGCGGTATGTATCAAAGGTTAGTTGTGTTTTGACATCATAGCAAGATTCAGGTACTGTTCCGATTCAAGTGCCCTCCTCTTGTTCATTGTTGCACTGGGGGTCTGGTTTGTGTTGGGTCCCGGCTGCATGACATACATACATACAAGGCGATCGGAGACGAGCACTATCAAGGCGAGAACAAAGGAAAACAGCAACAACCTGCACCCACCCGACCCGTGGTCGGTAGGTTCCACACAGACAGCCCCAAGGTGATTGAAGTGTTAGGTCACACTTTTACACGCTCGAGGGACGGACGATCCATTTCATCAATCACTGTTCAAGACCGGGGGCATCCCGAAGAGATTTTATCCGAAAATATATGCCGTAGTACGACACATGTACATATGTATGTGATGCGCTGAATCTGAGCAGCAACTGATCGTGGTATCCTTCAAAAGCCTGTGTGGCATGTATGTACGTGACGCGTGCGAGGTGTACAATATCGCCATCCCGGCCGGTGGAGATGAGTTTTCGCTCCCAAACAGAAACCAACCCACCAGGATCACAAAGATGACCACAACGGACGGCTGTGGATGCGTGGACTAAGCATGGGAACAGATGCCAAAAAAGAAGACACTCGACAAAGATTTGGCTAGACTTGGAGGGATTCTGCGAGATAAAAAGTAGAATCTCAGACGCAAAGCGCTCACGCGCGCCTGTGTTTTTGATTCATCGGATGATGTCGTTGGCTGCAACACGCAAGACGAAAGAAGGCGTTTACTGGTTCAAGGTTACATTGAAAGAATCGTGGAGATGCATGCCTGAGAAACTTCACCCCACCCGTGTATCTTAAAATTCCCAGCCCCACCGGAAACCCGACAAAAAAAAGCAGCACACACAGCGAACCATGGGCCTGATCCGCCTGCACACAAGTTGCTTGAGTCATCCATCTCATGCATCACTCGTTGCCAGAACACCAAAAAAACAGCGCGATTGGGGGAACACTACATGCCAAAAAACACAAGAGATAACACCACCGAAGTAACACGTACTACGTGACCCAGTTCGGGGCCCACCCCGCTCCCCCCTCCTCTTTCCAGCCTCTATTCGACGCTGGCACTTGCGGGGAACGGTAAGAGGTAAAGTAGCGACCGCCGCATGTTCATGGGTGCTCAAACGGGTCTATCCCTTGCCTTCCATGGGTGGCCAATCTCATGGATCACAAGTGCAGCTGCCGAGCACACCGCCAGCGACACTACGCAAGGCCAACTCATCAGTGATGCCCCAAGAGACAAAACGGATGGTTGATCATGATACGGTTGAACCGTAGACCTCTCATATAGGTTATATAGGGAGCCAGTCACGCATCATCATCGCGCGCACTCCCTCCGTGATCGAAACGACCTTGGCCCAACTCCTCACCCAGAGTAACCGAACTCCATTCGAACAGAAACAACCAGAGAGGAAAAGGAGAGAACCATCAAAGACACCATAACAAGAAAAACATGCCCCGAGACCCTACCTCGGTGTCTTTTCACTCTGGAGAACGAAGAACCACGACCGGGCGTTTGATATGCTGGTCAACCCCCTCCCCAGCCGGTCTTCCCGCCGCTCCCCCCCCCCCCCAAAGCCCATCTTGTGCCGGAATAACAGGGACCTGATTTTCACAACGCCACAGT